GAGCCGGATGTAAGGAAGTCTACAAATTATCAAAGCAATTGATTAGCGTATCATTAGGCAGCATGCGGCCCGTAAATAACGCCTAGCCCGTAAATATACATCTCAATCAGATTTGTGCGTATCGACCTTTCCAAACCCCTTGAGGCATGCCTGATGTGAGACTTTTGGGAAGTTTCGGAAATGGTACACTATAAGTGTTAGCATGCCAACATAGTCCACATGGCACAGCACCTTGATGTGTAAAATGACAGCATCAACCCGATCCCTCTCCGCCCCTCGTTTCACCAAAAATTTCCTATCTGTTACGACCCCCATCACTTAACTTCCATCTTCCCGAGAATTCCCTCTCTTCCTGCCCCCAACTTTTCCAAGTTTTCCCGTTTCCACAGAAAAACGGACCGTCCAGCCGTATGCTGTCGTTACCAGTCAGCCTAACCAATAACAATTAAACAAACAGTTCGACAACAATCGAAATACACTTGCAACCAGTCGCGACGCTGGCCAAATAGGGGAAGGAAGCGAACATGAAAGGGGCAGAATTGAGAAAACTCAATAGTCAGGTCGGTAAGTTTTACTCAACGGCAAATGCGGCCTTCTCCACCTCAGAGACCAAGTACGACCACCTTTTTGAGGTTCTCCCAACGATACTGTACCCTGATAATCCCATAAGTAATAAGTCAAAAGGATTCATGATTTCATTTCATGACAAAGGATAAAGTACTCTTCAAGAAATCTCGACACAGTCCTTGTCCAGCGCTTCAGTGAGCCGACCGAGACAAGGCCCTAGAAAAGCCGACGAAAAAGGAGAGAAACAGTTGAGTTAAAAGAATCCATGGGACTACAGAAGATGCTGACTCATACCTTCACACCGTAGTGACTAATTATGCTTAGCTACTCATTACCAGCTACCTCACAGTAAGCTTGTGTTCCTATGAAATGGTTGAGCTTTATCTCCTGAATCTAAGAAGAGAGAAGTCTGGCAAAGCTCGGAAAATCGGACTTGCAGCCCACCGTTTTCACTGCAGATTCTGCGTACGAGATGCTAGTAATATGGGTGTCATGCGATGATGAATGCGATCTTGGTGGCCATTAGATCTGATGGTGGCCAATTTTTGGCGTAGGACTGTGATGTGGTCCACATGGTCGACGTTCACCGCCGACCTAGGCTGAATAGGATGATCGACTATCCTTCGGAGCCATTTCATTTGCGTATTCTGAAAAATGCCGAACAATATGGCGACACCGTTGCTCTGGTGAGAACTTTGACAATAGTACATCCATCTTTAGTTTCAGTCGATTGGAACATTTTATTATTTTTATTTTAGAGAGCAATCATATCGGCACTTTTCTCGCTGACGCTTTCATATTGCTTTGGGTGTGACCTGTCGACATCTTTTACAGCTTGGCTAATGTTTCGGCATTAATTATATTGGGGTCTGGAAAGATGACAGGAAATGGCATATGTGAGGGGACTACCCCAACGTGACTTTGAAATGCACTAAGCTAGCAAAAGAGTTGATCCGCAAGATGTGGACAAAAAATAAAAAAATAGAAGAATCTTCGCCGTTGTTCAGTCTACTTCGGACCAGGGCACGTCGCAGTTGGGCATTCTCTAACTTCGTCTGGTCTTTGGGTTGGGGGTCGTATTTGGTCGCTGGGAGAAGGGGTGATCGTATTTGGGCTAAGAAAAATTTGTGTGAGTTGAGTTTCGTTGCAGGGATGCTGTGACATGCTAGGGTTTTTGTTTGTGTTTACTTATATATCTCCCCCCCCTCCATCCCCTCGACGGCTCGATTCGATGAGGAGGGACAGAGGGCCGGAGTGGAGGGGGGTCGTACGGACTCGACTAAAATCCCTAACTAATGATGTGCCCTGCCCACACACCCGCACAGCACAGATTTGTGGGGCAGGAAATTTCGGTTAGATATAAAATTTTAAAAATAATATATAAAAAAATTGGGAGAAAGTGGTAGGCCCCCGTTGCGCACTTTCCCCTTACATGTGTTATTTACCTCACTCCACCTCCTCCCTTTGACTGTTCGAATGAGTAGGGAAGGCAAAGAGGGGTAGGGGTGTACCAACCCTTATAATAAAGGAGGGGTTCTGTCCGGGGACGTCGAACGCTAAATCCCCAACTATACTAGCGATGTGCCTTGTTTCGGAATGAGACGCTCATTCTACTTCCATTCAGAGTCGCAGTGGCTTATCGAAAATATTTGTCCTAAAGAATAACTTGGGGGGGGGGAGGGAAACCGATGTACAGCACATCGTACTTGTAGTCTCATCCTCCCAGACGAATCTAGTATCAATTTACCTTCCTCATGAGGAATGGCTGGGTGGATTGGTTGGAGCCGATCCTTGACTAGACTGCAAGGTTGTGCGTGTGATAAAGCGTGTCACTTGCTTCTACAACATCACGACAGCTTTGGACTCGAACAGGGGTTGACTTGTTGGGAGACCTCTTCTTTTACTATTTGATAAGTGTAGTTAAACGCACCATTCACTCTCCGATAGCCACCACCGAAGTGCTGAATTATAGGCGAAAGTGTTGAATCCAGGCGGACTCGAACGCGCAGCTCACGCTTTCCGGGGTTCCGAGGCGAGGTGCGCTTATCGCGCTACGCCACCAGGACGCGTGCCTTACCTCGGCGGTCAGTTTGTGGTCTATACAAGTCCCGCCCTGGGCTATCCTTGAGCCTTTCCCGCGTTCCTACCCGGGTGTCTCACGGGGTACTTGTCTCTCTAGATCAACAGCCGCAAATATCTGCAAAAAGACCGCCGTCGTCGGAGGAGTCTGTAAGGACAACTTGTAAATGCGACGCGCGGGGGAAAATGGTGGCTGAAACTGCATACGTATAGGGGCTCAAAAGTGTCGAGAAAAGTTGAGACTTTTTTAGGGTTTTCCATTTCCAAGGTTTTTTGGAAGCATGGGGCTGATCGAGAAGGATAAGTTGGAGTTCTATGTCGAAGGGCCATACTAGAGCAGTGGTGGAGAGAGATTGCCGAGCCCACGATTTCCTCATCACTGGATGTGTCCTGGCCCTTCTGCTATTATCTGTGACGCACCGCACCACGTAGCAGATTCCTTTTGAGCATACCTGGGCAAGAGTTGTACTGGCTTCAGGACCTCTCAAAGCTTTTATCACCTATTGGCACTTTGCAGACCGACGATGACGGGGATGTGAACTTTCGTGAAATTTATCAGTTATCAATACAATTTGCTGTTTTGTTACAATCGATTGGTCCAAGAAAAGGTATGTTGAGCTCTGTTTTTTCCAACAGACATCTGTCAGCGCTGATTGTGGGAGGGAGCCGGGGGGGGAAGCTGAGATGGCAATCTTTGCAATTTTCGCCACGCTTCTTTTGTTGCTCCTTCATGTTGACGAAGCAGGCTCTCACGAGACCTGTAAAAGCTACAATGTTGTACAAGCGGTCCTTTGTAGTGACAGAAATTTGCAAGACTTCGGAAGCTAATCTGTACAAGTGCCACCCCCATCAAGCCATACTACGCCGAATTTTCTTCTGACTTTCACTGAAGTCAGTTATTTTCCATTATCGTTATTAAGGAGAACCTATCCTGCTTGTAATAAAAAAACCGAAGCTCTAGCATGGTATCGGCATTTTTGGGATCTCTCGTATGCGGCGGGTGTCTGTTTCTTATTTCTCCGTGCAGCCACCTAATGATGTCGCTGTGACAGGGATCAATCAAGATTCCACTGTTGGTACTGAACTTCTGAACCTCTAATTTTTCGTGATTTAGAGGAATAATTTGAAAAATAATTGCTTTCAGAAGAAATTCGCTATTATGCTAAACAGAGTGGAGCCGCAGCAGTGGTATGCACGGCATCAAATTTCGCGAGACTGGAAGGAGTTTTTCCTGCACAAAAGGTGATGTTCTGGAAAAAAAGGGAAATATAGTGCCGCATGACGGCTACAACTAATGTTGAGACTAAAAATAAATTCTCTGCAGGAATAGTTCGGCTTTAAACTGAAGGCATGTGTGAGATTAAGCACATCGAGGGCTTTTGAATGCGCACGTGGTCTGGCTCTGCAAGGTGGCGGCGGGACCGACCAACGTTGGAAATGCTGCTTTCAATCTTGCCTCCGGTACATAGCAAGCTTTACCTAGGTGTATACTGCAGAAGTATGGGTCTTGCGCCCGAGTAGCGTTCTCGTGAAAATCGGATTTCTTTCATTTCGCCCTTCGAAAGCTTGAAATCCCTTCGTAGAAGACGTTTCCAGGCGCCGTTCGGCGAACGGGGGAGCGGGGGGGGGGGGCATTTTGCACTTTCGCTGCTTCACTAGTTCCGGTTTACAAGTCTCACTCTGGTGAAACCTGTAAACTCCTGTGAAGCTGGAGCAAGCTCGTCCAACCACCATGATAAAACCTGTCAACCCTCGTGATGGCTCGACACGTCGATGTAGTCGATCGGAAAACGGCACATGGTCCCGGGCGCTACGTGCCCAGTCCTCCTCACAGAACGCCGTTCACGCATTCGACCGTTGGGAAGCATGGTGGCATGAGATGCCTATTTGGCCTCTCTTTGGCTACAGAGAAAGAGAGAGAGAGAGAGAGAGAGAGAAAGAGTGAGGTGAGAGAGAGATAGCAAAGGCAACATATAGTCTTTAGCCTCCGCCAAACAAGTCTGGAAGTTTCATTGATCCCAGGAGAGCTTGCAGTCTTGGCTGAGTGGGAGAACATGGAGAGCAACAGGGGTGGCAAGCCGCTAGGATAAAAGAACAAGTAGGCATGAAAGAGATACGATCCTCTTGAGTCAAAAACTCTCAGAAGTGGTAGCGTGGCTTGCGATTCACAAACGTGTTTGTGGCTCTGCTCTTGGAGAAGTATTTTTTGGCTCAATTGTGATTGTGTCTCTGTTCTATGTAGAACGAGACGACAATTGTCTTAGATAGAAATGCCCTACGAGTAGCCCATTCTGTGCGATGTCCAAATGCCACGCCCACTCCATCTCAGGGAGAAGGAATTGTTCTTTCAGACCATGTGCGATACAAGTGGGTGCAACACAGTAACTCTCCTGTTAAATTTAAGTTTTCCTCGTGATTCACTGCTATCTGTCATAAATTCAGTGAGAGTTTCCGTCTGCTGCCTGCTACAACATTTCCGGTGGAGCAGGATATTACCACCAGTAATGAAGTCAAGCGGATTTCTTTCAGCTGATGAACCTACTTGTAACTCAAATTCCTCACTTTAATAGAGCTGCTTTTCGTTGGTCGCAATGCGGAGACGAGACTGTTAGTCAAACCGAATCAACAGAAGGAGCTAACGAGCGCAGAAAAATCCTCCCCTCAGTCGAACTACGCCTTGGAATGGTAGCTACTATCGTGAAGTTATAATGTAGTTGGGATGGCGGATGTTGGGCGTGTCAGGCGGGATGATTTGGTCGGGTGGCCAAACCCGGTTCTCCCACAGTGCGCTAAAGCGAGGCAAGTGATAATAATTGTATCATACAGTTCCATTACGTTTTCTACCAAAGCTTTTTGTCGCAATGCGCGCTTCAAAAGAAGGGCAGAGAAACGGCTTTCCGCGCGTGACAATACTGCCCATCCCAACAGTCCGAAGCGGAACAACGAGGTAATATATCTTTGCTCATCTGACCAGACTCTGCAGTCGTCTAACCTGTGTCTGGTTTCACTGTTCCAAGAAATGTTTGCTGGAGGACCCCGGGGCAAGAAAGAACTGGTGAATGTGTGGAAGCTGAATTGTGCCTTAGATGTCAGGATTTCAGAATGATAAAATAGAAACAAAATAATGAAATTGAAATATAGTCATAATTTCCAGAACTTTTCCTCGCCATTTAATAATCGCACAGTGTAATGGGGGTACATATATGTGGGAAGATCCTATACATACTCTACCACTTTGTTGCCCTAAAATAGGTTTGAACTAAGAATTTCAGATTCTGGTATTTGCCTCGACAAAGGAATATTGCGAATTCACTGATGCTGTTGTATTGCCTCGCGATTTACCGCCTTGGCATGACGACCTGCCCGGCTCGATTCAGGATGTGCAACACGAACTTGACGACACCCTGTTGCTGCCATTTTCCAGCGGCACAGGTGGAAAACCTCGCTGTGTAACGTTAACACACCGCAACTACAATGCAGCTACCGCCATCTTGAAAATGTAACAACTTTGCATAACTTTCTACTAATGAGGTCCTCCTGTGTTTTTCTGATGAATTCTTGACACAGGGCCTTGTTCGATCAGCTCGTTGTTGAGAGTCGACGGAAGACAGTTGCTGTGCTTCCATTCTACCACGCTTCAGGATTTTGGGCACTCCTTTATTGTCTTCTGGAAGGATGTCACACTATCATTATGAAGTCGTTCCATCCAATTTCTATGCTTGAAATCATTCACAAGTACGAGGTACGTTGTCATTTTAGCCTAAACCATAGCCAAATGCGCTACTTCTCATTTGCGCTTTCCTTTCTGGTATTTCTCTACCTCTGACTGTGTGTTGCGGAGAGTTTCGCTTAGGACTCAAGTGTGCTGCACGACAGGGCGGGGCTGAGCGCCATAGACAGTACCTCGGCCGTCTCTTGCCGCTTCAGCCATTTCGCGCGCTCTCAAGTGAGAAATGTGGCACTTTGTACAGCTCCGACCCATTTTTCTTCCGCACATGGGAAGGACTGGCTTTGCAGACGAATGTACAGTTTGTCGTCAGATTGGTTTTGTTCAAAACCATTTCTGTCATGCAATTGACAACGCATTCCCAAAGGCGTTGTACAGGAAAAATGTAGCTGTACGGGTTCTTTATTAGGTAAGATACACTAAATTGTGGTGCATCAATTTCTGTCCGTTTTCTCTCTTGTCGAATGAATACCGAACAGCTACATCTCTCGTCCTGTTCGTACAGTTCCTTTGTGGTTCAAGTCCCTTGGGTCGAGAACTCAGTTCTTCTTTTCTTGAAAAATTTCCTTCTGTTCAGAATTTGATTCAAGGTGAGACTTTTCGAAAAACGCTTTACAACATGGAAAAAAATTTTATTGTTGATTATTGTTTGATAACTGCTGTTTAACGCCGCAGTACGCGATACGAAAGCTATCACAAGAATGCTGAGTTATGGGCAAAAGTCGGACCACGGACGGGATTCGAACCCGCATCTTCTGCTTACCGGGCAGTTGCGTTCCTATTACGTTAGCGCGGGGCCACTTTTTGACCTATCTAAGATCATGGCAATATTTGTGGCCATAGCCTACAGCACTCACAGCGTTCAACGTGATGCAGCCGGTTAGCCGAATAATCAAACAATAACAGCTTGAAACTTGTAAAAAGCCTTCAGCCTTGCGGTTCACTGCCGATATCGGCTAACCGGCTCATCACGTTGAACGTGTGAGTGCTGTAAGGCTATGCAGCAGAATAGCCATTGACTGAATGGTCAAAGTGAGCCCGGTAGCGTAATAGGGAACGCAACTGCCCTGTAAGCAGAAGATGCGGGTCGAATCCCGTTCGTGGTCCGACTTTTGCCCATAACTCAGCATTCTTGTGAATAGTTTAATTGTCTTCCTCCCTCGGACCATACGGGGCTGTGTGGAATTCCGCAGTCGCTTGGGCTAGAATAATAAAAGGAAGTATAAGAAAAGCATCCATCATAAGAATAATGTCAGCACAAAATTCAATTTTGCATTATAAGCAGCTTAGAGATCATTGATCCCTAATGGTTTTTTTCCAGAGAGGTCGTAACCAGCCTAGGTACATCGTTGTTGGTACTTTTACAGGGGTCGTATCTGGTCACTGGAAGCGGACGGGTCGACATTTGGCTGAAAAATTTATTTGGACACTCGTTCTTCCTCTTGTTTCACAGACGTTATAGAGGTGGGGTCGTATTTGTTCATTGTTGGGAGGGGAGGGGTCGGTTCCCCTTCCGACCTTCTGAAACAGGTCGCCTAACTTTCCGAGATTTTTTTTCATGTGTATTATACACCTTTCCCCGCTCGATAGCCCGATGAGGAGGGAACGGGGGGGAGGTGGGTCGTACCCCCCGCAAGAAAGTTGGATGGTCGTACGAACTTGACCAAAATCCCAAACGAATGATGAGCCCTGTGCCAGCCCTTCTGACGAAAAAATGATCGTACGCAATGCCAACCCGTCAAACCTGACGAACAAGATTGTTTCGTTGCGTAGCTACTTACCGAGTTTTCAGGTTACGGTATGACAGAAATTGTGGTTCTTAGCCACATAACCCCACTTGGGCTTATCGACGAAAAGCATCTTGGTAGCTGCGGTAAGCTGTTGCCAGGATTTTGAGGCTGAGGTGAGGCTTCACGCAGGGCGTAACAACTAATCTGGGACTAACCTCGTGTATAGCTTGATACAGTTAAGAGGCGAAAATGGAGGCGTCGTCGATGGTCCCTACTGTCCAGGCGAGCTTTATCTAAAATCACCGACAGTTATGCGTGGATACCACAACTCTGATGGAACTGCAGATCCGTTCGTGGACGGATGGCTGAGAACTGGTGAGCGATTCAGCTACTGAAATTGTTTTCTCTACAGATCGCCGTAGTTCTGAAGTGTGCGGCCCATTCGGCTAAACTCCTTGACGTCAATCATTCCCTTTTGGACGCCACTCGCACTTTGAGCCGTTGTGGCTTATACACTGGTCTGCGGGTGCCGGTTAAAATACGGTCTTATCCTCTTACTAGGGAGGTCGTTCAGGACGTGGAGCGCTTTTTGAAAACGGTTTTTTGCATGATGTGGGGTTACGTGCATGGAGTACCAAACTGGTGTTCATTTTTCCTGAACGCCTCTGGGAATGCCAAAAATGGAGTGAAAAAGAAGTCCATGGAAACCGACTGTTTTTGAGCCTGAATGGGCTCTAAATCACTCGCAACTTCGGCCAGTTGCTGCCTATAGGGTCCTTATAAAGGTACTGGTATCGATGAGAAAAGTAGTCGCCAATGGGGGGGGTCCTACTTGTGGCACGTAGTCCCCAATTTGGAGCCAAGTCTTTCTCCCACTGGAGTCGCTATGTACATTCGTTTGAGGGACTTGCAGGGCCATTCTGACGCCAGATTGGGTTGATGTCAAGAATAAGTGTCAGAATCGTGATCAGGACCATCGATTACCCCTATAGGCAAACTTTCGGCCAAAAAATTTTTTTGACTTTTTTGAGTTGTGATAGACCGACCATTTGGTCGACAGTGATGACCAGACACACTTTGGAGTTGCGATGACGTAGCGATGACGTGGTTGGGCTGACCGGGGCAGCCGCATCGCGGATTTGGTGCTCATAAGGTCCATTCATACTTGGCATGGGCATGGGTGGCCGCAGAACAAGTGAAAAACCATCCTGGACATTTGTCGACCCCCGCGACGGCTCGCTCAACGAAGATGTCGTCCTACCAAGAGGAGAGACTCATCCGATTTCTTCCATCAAATGCACCTGGAGGAATGATGACTATTTTGTTCTTTTTTTCGATGGCGTTTTGTTGCTAGTTTTTTTGTCTCCGTACCACTGAATGAGGGTTTCGATAACCAGCAAAAGTACGACTTCAACAAAGTGACTCTTGAGCATAACCCAATGCACAGACTCAAAAAGTCAAAAATTTTTTTGGCTGAAAGTTTGCCTATAGGGGTAATCGATGGTCCTGATCACGATTCTGACACTTATTCTTGACGTCAATCCAATCTGGCGTCAGAATGGCCCTGCAAGTCCCTCAAACGAATGTACATAGCGACTCCAGTGGGAGAAAGACGTGGCTCCAAATTGGAGATAAATGGCACTAGAGCTGAAAGTAAATGCCATAGTCATGATCAGGGCATCGAATAACATAAGCTCAGCTTTCAGACAAGTTCTTGCTTAATGGTATGTGAAATCGAAATTGCTGAATAGCACCGACTACGGGCTATAACTATGGATGTGCCTATAAATGGCAGATATCCGAGTAAAATTCATTAACAGACGTATATGGAAGCGACAACAACGGAAAATAAAAAATGCAAAAACGTGCAAGCCGAGGGGAGTCGAACCATCATCCCCCATCCCCACTGTCTGCTTGAGAATCCTCCACGCTATCCACTAGGCCATCCGATCGTTGGCACAGGCACCACTTCGATTGCTTAAGAGCCCTTCGAATTGGCCGTCGACTCTTAACTACGTGCCACAAGTAAGACCCCATTGACGACCTTTTTTCTCATAGATACCAGCACAACCTTTATAAGGACC